GTATCATAACACAGGTATCTAGAGTAGGCGATACATGTATCATAACACAGGTATCTAGAGTAGGAGATACATGTATCATAACACAGGTATCTAGAGTAGGAGATACATGTATCTAGAGTAAGAGATACAGGTATCATAAACAGGATATAGGTATCTAGAGTAGGAGATACAGGTATCATACACAGGATACGAGCATCTAGAGTAGGAGATACATGTATCTAGAGTAAGAGATACAGGTATCTAGAGTAGGAGATACAGGTATCATACACAGGATAAAGGTATCTAGAGTAGGAGATACAGGTATCATACACAGGATATAGGTATCTAGAGTAAGAGATACAGGTATCATACACAGGATACGAGTATTTAGAGTAGGAGATACAGGTATCATACACAGGATACGAGTATTTAGAGTAGGAGATACAGGTATCATACACAGGATACAGGTATCTAGAGTAATAGATACAGGTAACTAGAGTAGGAGATACAGGTATCATACACAGGATACAGGAATCTAGAGTAGGAGATACAGGTATCATACACAGGATACAGGAATCTAGAGTAGGAGATACAGGTATCATAACACAGGTATCTAGAGTAGGAGATACATGTATCATAACACAGGTATCTAGAGTAGGAGATACATGTATCATACACAGGATACAGGTATCTAGAGTAATAGATACAGGTATCTAGAGTAGGAGATACAGGTATCTAGAGTAAGAGATACAGGTATCTAGAGTAAGAGATACAGGTATCTAGAGTAAGAGATACAGGTATCATACACAGGATACGAGTATGTAGAGTAGGAGATACAGGTATCATACACAGGATACGAGTATTTAGAGTAGGAGATACAGGTATCATACACAGGATACAGGTATCTAGAGGAGGAGATACAGGTATCATACACAGGATACAGGTATCTAGAGTAATAGATACAGGTATCTAGAGTAGGAGATACAGGTATGATACACAGGATACAGGTATCTAGAGTAGGAGATACAGGTATCATACCAAGGATACAGGTATATAGAGTAGGAGATACAGGTATCATACACAGGATACAGGTATCTAGAGTAATAGATACAGGTATCTAGAGTAGGAGATACAGGTATCATACACAGGATACAGGTAATTAGAGTAGGAGATACGGGTATCTGGAACATGACTTGTAGCTGGTGATATCATCAGACTAGCCATCCAATTTTTCACTAGGTAGCCCTGTAAGTGATATAACACACTTCGGAACAAATGTATATTGCTGAATTCAAATACATTGAGGAAATCTCAACCAATTTTGTGATTTTCTGGAGGTATGATCAGGTATAACAGGATACTTTTCTTATCCACTTAAATTACCAAACCATTAACACTAAATCAACGATAGACATTTACTGAGGGTTGAATATTTGGGGTGTTACCTCCTTACAACACCTATAGTCTTATGACAACAGTGTCGAATAAAACTGAGCCTTCACAACAGCTTCTGTCTAATAATGACAGGAAAGTAGGATGATCACATAAATGTTGATATGAAATTTTAAGTTATTGCACGTTTGGTTAATTCTGTTTCTTATGTAGGGTAAGCTTTTAATAGAATTACCCAGAAAGATTGATCTTCTCATAAAAAATTTGGATGCAACTAAAGCATGTCAGGAAAAAAACAAGTTTTAAAAACATTACACAATCTTTATGAAATGAAAGTTGAAATTCCTACTTCTATCACAGTATGTCAGCTTGAACAAATTAAAACATGGCCTTGGTTGATAAGTCTGTTTATTATAACATTACCACAGTATGTACCCAATACACCTCACACTGACTACCAAACGTTCCACAGGATCACAGTACTCCTTGAACATTATGTACCGATACATCTCTCTTTACTATAGTGGAAACAACTTCCACTCAACTTGTGTGTTCTGTGTTGCAATGCAATACAACAGAATGTTCCCCCCTTACAGTAATTAATTGTACATTATAGGAAGCTTTAACAAGGAATTACAGTGATTGATGTACAATGCGTTCCCCCTTACAGTAATTAATTTGTACATAGGAAGCTTTAACAAGGAATTACAGTGATTGATGTACAATGCGTTCCCCCTTACAGTAATTAATTGTACATAGGAAGCTTTAACAACACATTACAGTGATTGATGTACAATGCTGCACTTGGTTTTGATATCATTTCTATCTGCCATTGAGATCCTACATAAATAAGATTTTTGATGCGACTCTGCTCCGTCATATCATATCAGATGATAAAGAACATATTCACAAGCCCAGTTAACACTGTTGTTAGTCTGTCTCTATACACAACTATTTACAATTTACAAATACAACCCTATTATATACATATTTATATCACATTCGTCTTTTAAACAAAATAAAACCGCAACTCTCTCTCTCTCTCTTTTTTGCAAATTCTTACTCATTCTTACAACATCTCTGCTCATACACACACTCAAATAATAATATATATTTGCACAACTAGCACTCCAGTTTACTTGGTCTAAGCTATTTACAGAACGCCTGTCTATAATCAGACAGTGAGTCACCTAACATATCAGTCCTCATCCTCTTCGATTCCTTGGTTTATAAAATATTCCTAAAATGGCTGTAAATCTGAGCCAGACACAATTAATTAAACTATACACAGAAGTGTGGCGGTGCTAGATTGGTTTGTATAGTAGTGTAGTCACATACTTTTTCCTGAATCTATGAGTACCACTCAGCACCATCACGCCATCCTGTAATAAAACAAAATACATACTAATTCATCATCACATACAGTTACTGTCAACGTAAAGGCTTATTTTGTTTAGAGCACAAAAAGGAATTAAAAACTTACTTTGCGAGCTTTGGAAAATGTGTGTTTCCTTTGTCAAGCAAAGAGTGTAAATGACTGATGCCTCGAATCTGACATGGGGTTATATAGAATAGCAGCTAAGGGTAAACATGTTACTCATTCCCCAACTGCCTGCTGTATTAGAGCGCTATTTGATGAAATGTCTCTATGATTTTTGACAGCTGACTTAACTGATTCAGCACTCTGCAGCTTAGCGAGTTGTTTTCAGCGGTTTAGAGTTGAGACATCAGTCATTTACGCTCTTTGCTGAATGTTGGAAACAAGATGTTTTCAAAAGCTCGTAAATAAGTTTTCAATTCCTGTTTGTGTTCAAAACAAACGTAGCCTTAATTATTCATATCAAACTTAGTAATCTTATTCCGAATGCTTTAAACATATCTTCACATGAGCTACTATACCTGGTAAATATATTCTGTGGTTATGATATTTGAGCAATTTTCATGCTAAATTGAATGTGTGAAAAATCTCATTTGTACTTAATCATGGCAACTGCTAAAATTACTGTCTTTCTGTAAGTTAGAGACAGCTTTAGAAACTAAAATAGAACCGGCCTCTTATGTCAATAAGGTAGATTTAATTAAACTAGAACTGTAAGATAAATGCTAACTAATACTCCCCACTCGTATATAAACTAGAACTGTAAGCTAAATGCTAACTAATACTCCCCACTCGTATATAAACCAGAACTGTAAGCTAAAGGCTTATTACTAATGCAAAGCATTGCAAAGCAATCCATAGTCTCCCACCAGTAATGTTTTCTTTATTGACCGAGCTGTACACTTACTTAGTAGTCCTAGTAGTTAAGGAAGAGATGCCAGGTCAAAGATTTTTATCAAAGGGCCATAACTCCTTAAAAAGGGCCGAAATGAAGAAATACTACCCTGATGCACGACATCAGGGCGTAATAATTACCATTAAACTTTCATTGAAACTGGCACAGTCCTTTTGGAGAAGTTGAACGGGCAAGCATTTTTCAACTAAGGGCAATAACTCCCTAAAAAAGGGTCAGAATGAAAAAATAATACCTTTATGCACAACTTCAGGTGGCAGTTATCGTATCTGGAAATTTTCATTGAAATTGATCCATAACTTTAGAAGAAATTGTCCGACAAAAAAAATCAAGATTTTTTAAACAAGGGCCTATTACTTTGTAAACAAGAGGCCCGGAGGGCCTGTATCGCTCACCTGGATAATAAAGCAATCATGGGAAAATATTCTTATTACATAAAATACCACCAATGGTTTAGAAGAAGAAGGATTTTGAATGATTTCATCTGCAAATTCCGCTATTGGGCCCCATAACTCTGCACCCAGAGGGGCCACTCCCTCAATTTATACAATTTTTTTCCCCTTCACCTAAGGATGCTCCAAGTCAAATGTGGATGAAATCCCTCCAATGTTACAGAGAAAAAAGGATTTTGAAGACTGAAACCTCAAATTCCCCTATTGAGCCCCACAACTCTGCACCCAGAGGGACTATACCCTCCATTTATACAAAACTTTGTCTCCTTTGCCAAAGGATACTCCAGGTCAAATGTGGATAAAAAATCCCTCCAATGGTATAGAAGGAGAAGGACTTTAAAGATTTTAACCTCAAATTCCCCGTTTGTGCCCTGTAGCTCTGCATCCAGAGGGGCCACAGTGCAGATGGGCCACACCTAATGTTTATACAAAGTAAAGTCACCTTTGCCCAAAGATGCTCCAGGCAAAATTAGGATAAATCCCTCAAACGGTACAGAAGGAGAAGGATTTTTAAGATTTAAACCTAAAATTCCCCTTTTGAGCCTGCCCTTCTGCACCAAATGGGGTCACACCCACTATTTATACAAAACAGAATCATCTTGGCCCAAGACTGCTTAATAACAAATTGAAATCCCTTTATCCCTATGGTAGGAGAAGAGTGTCAAAGATTTTACCTCTATTTCCCCTATTTTACCCCGCCCCTCTGCCCCCAGGGGGGTCCAAACTCACCGTTGATACAAAATTGAGTCCCATTGCCCCCAAGGATGCTCCAGACCAAATTGGGACGAAATCCCTTAATCCCTTTGGTAGGAAAAGGATTTTAAAGGTTTTACCTCTATTTCCCCTATTGGAACCACCCCTCTGCCTCGAAGGGGATCCCTTCCAAGGATGCAACAGACTAAATTAGGATAAAATTCCTTTATCCCTACGAAAGAAGAAGGCATTTCAAGATTTTACCTCTACTTCCCCTATTGGTCCCTGCCTCTCTGCCCCCAGGGGGGCCACATCCACAGGTTATACAAAACTGAGTCCCCTTGCAAGAAGGATTCTCTAGAACCAATTGGGATAAAATCCCTTCATCCGTTCAGAACTAGAAGTGTTTTAAAGGAAAAGTTGATGTACAGAAGGACGACGCACCATGGCATAAGCTAAAAAGGGTCAGAATGAAAAAATAATACCTGGATGCACAAATTCAGGTGGTAGTTATGATATCTGGAAAGTTCCGTTGAAATTGGTCCATTACTTTAGAAGGAGTTGTCCGGACAAACTTTTTCTACAGAATGACAGACTGACAGACGGAAGGACAAGCTGATTCCAGTGTACTCCCCTTATTTTGTTCAGGGAGTATAACAAGTTGTCTACATGTACCTACCTTTATTGATAATGCATAAAGATGGTTTAACATCACATGGTTTGGTTCAGGCAGAAGGGAAGGCTCACACTGTAAACAAGAAATAGAAACATTGATGCTTACACAAGAAATGGTACGGAGGAACATGTGATCCACTTGACAATTAAATATAACCTAGGGCAGGTGATGAGGTTGTACATCAAGGGGCTTTTACAGGTCACGGCTGAAAAGGGTATGACTCAAATAGCTGTCGTCCCCTTATTGGTACATATATTACCTAGCTGATTACGTAGTATGGGGGTCTATGGCTAGGCAAATGTATAGGTTGTGTGTCACTTTTGCCCGAGTGCTTGTTGAGAGTGACAGGTCTACAGGGGATGTACTTACATGAGCCGGTGTGTCCTTGTTAAGTATGACCTGGAGCAGGTGAGGAGGTAGTATAGGGGGCCCACTATGTTTTTCTCCTGGTCGTCGCGGGGGCACCTCCTGTCCATACTCACTTTGTGGACCATTGATGTCAACTGAAGGGTAAACAGAAATGTAGACACTAAATTGATTTCTTTGGTATGAAGGTAATTGTAGTGATAGGCCACCAAATACAAAAATATTTCACACTTCTAAATACGTAATGCAAGCTAGAAGTAGAGTTCAAGACATTAACAAGAGGCCCATGGGCCGAAACGAGTCCTACAGTATTTATTTTTGTTGTTGAATTATGTACCAATTTGAGTTCAAAAAAGTTAAGTATAACGTTAATTCAAGTTTGTCAGGACCATTAGCTGATCATTCCTAGACCGACTTTCAGTTAAATAGGCCTATTAGAACTTGTTTTAAAGTTTGAAATACTTTTTTCAAAATGACAGCCATGGCGGCCATATTGAATTTCTGATCGACCCGAAAAATAACAACACTTTGTCAGGACCATGAGTCGATCATTCCTACAAAGTTTCAGTTCAATCGGCCCAGTAGAACATGACTTTTAAGTTTGAAATAGTTTTTCAAAATGGCGGCCGTGTCGGCCATATTGGATCTCTGATCAACCCGAAAAATAACAACACATTGTCAAGACCATGAGTCGATCATTCCTACAAAGTTTCAGTTCAATCGGCCCAGTAGAACATGACTTTTAAGTTTGAAATAGTTTTTCAAAATGGCGGCCGTGGCGGCCATATTGGATTTCTGATAATCCCGAAAATAACAACACTTTGTCAGGGAGATGTAAGTAACCTTCCCATGAAATATTAATGAAATCCCTTCGCCAGCATTTCAGCTTAAGTTGAAAATGTAAAATTTGGATGGACGACAGACGACGACGGACGAAGACGGAAAGCAACAGGTCACTTGAGCTAAAGCTCAGGTGACCTAAACATACAACTATCACATATCATAAATATTTACAAAGGTTACACTGCGTCTGCATCAATTTTACATGTGTTTGACCAATATCTTCGTAGACCACACAGAATCCAATTTTATAAAAGTTACACAGAATCCCAATCCAATATCTTGATCTGTGTACCACAAACACCTACATCGGTTATGTCTGTGTACCACAAACACCTACATCGGTTACGACTGTGTACCACAAACGCCTACCACAAACACCTACCACAAACACCTACATCGGTTACGTCTGTGTATCACAAACACCTAAATCGGTTATGTCTGTGTACCACAAACACCTACATCGGTTATGTCTGTGTACCACAAACACCTACATCGATTATGTCTGTGTACCACAAACACCTACCACAAACACCTACATCGGTTACGTCTGTACCACAAACACCTAAATCGGTTACGCCTGTGTACCACAAACACCTACATCAGTTACGTCTGTTTACCACAAACACCTACATCGGTTACGTCTGTGTACCACAAACACCTACATCAGTTACGTCTGTATACCACAAACACCTACATCGGTTACGTCTGTGTATCACAAACACCTACATCGGTTACGCCTGTGAACCACAAACACCTACATCGGTTACGCCTGTGTCCCACAAACACCTACATCAGTTACGTCTGTGTACCACAAACCCCTACATCGGTTACGCCTGTGTACCATAAACACCTACATCGGTTACGCCTGTGAACCACAAACACCTACATCGGTTACGTCTATGTACCACAAACACCTACATCGGTTACGTCTGTACAACACACACCTAAATCGGTTACGCCTGTGTACCACAAACCCCTACATCAGTTACGTCTGTTTACCACAAACACCTACATCAGTTACGTCTGTGTATCACAAACACCTACATCGGTTACGCCTTTGTACCACAAACACCTACATCAGTTACGTCTGCGTATCACAAACACCTACATCAGTTACGTCTGTGTATCACAAACACCTACATCAGTTACGTCTGTATACCACAAACACCTACATCGGTTATGCCTGTGTACCACAAACACCTACATCAGTTACGTCTGTGTATCACAAACACCTACATCAGTTACGTCTGTATACCACAAACACCTACATCGGTTATGTCTGTGTACCACAAACACCTACATCGGTTACGCCTGTGTACCACAAACAACTACATCGGTTACGTCTGTGTACCACAAACACCTACATCGGTTACGTCTGTGTACCACAAACACCTACATCGGTTATGCCTGTGTACCACAAACACCTACATCGGTTACGCCTTAGTACCACAAACACCTACATCGGTTACGCCTGTGTACCACAAACACCTACATCGGTTACGCCTGTGTATCACAGACACCTACATCGGTTACGCCTGTGTACCACAAACACCTACATCGGTTACGCCTGTGTACCACAAACACCTACATCGGTTACATCGTTGTATACTTACGTCGTTTGGCACTGTTGGTGTTTTTGCTATCCAGTGCTAATGCTTCAAACACTTCAAAATCTGATTTTTTCACGTTGACTATATTGTTCAATGTCCCGACAGTATTTTCTATAGTAGGCTGAAACATAAGGTTCACATTAGTTACGTACATCAGTGAAATCTTAAGACATGTAACAACTAAAAGCATGGCTTATTTCCACGATCTCCACACTCAGCAAAGACCACCTATTCAATTTTTATTTATTAATTTATTTATATACTGTATACCAAATGACAGCAATCAATATCATAATAGGAATAATGACTTAGGTGGATATTTTGTTTTTCATTAACTCTTTATAAAGATATGTTCTTTAACTATAAAATACAAGTTCAGTTTGTTTGTAAAGGTCATTTTATCTTAAATCCTATTAACTCATTTTAACTCTTCCAATTCAAAGGGTGGAATAGTTCATTATGAAATTTCAGGGGTGAATGAGTTAACGATACTTCATCCAGATACAAACAAATACAACAGCAAAGACTGGTCTATACAGCACTACAGCTGAGTAGTGATCAAATGTTAGATCAGTACACTGGCACATTCAACTCCATAACGGATACTATTACAACATATCTGCCAAGTTCTCAACAATGAAATCAAGGTTAGAGATGGTCAAAAAGTTAGGCCAAGCCTGCTATTAAATAGATGCACGAAATTTCAGTAATACTTTTTAATGTCAATTTTTTTAGTATGGCATTTACACTATTATTATTTTATTCTTAATATACTTGTATGTCTTCCCCAGTATTTTAAAAGCTCAACTTTTAAAAAGATGATTTTCAAACACTTTCAATATTGGAATAAGGAATGCAAATTCATGATGTTCAAAAATAAACGACAATCTACACTGGTCAGGGAGAACATCTTCAGGTTGACCTGCACAAATGTTGGTGATTTGGCAGGTATGTAATAATAAGCTTCATTTATGAGGAAAAAATAGGCAAATTTATCTTTTAATCAGTGCCGTATAAACATCGACCTAGTTTAAAATATTATACAAGTTTTGTTGGCTACTACAAAAAGTTTATAAAAAATCATTCTTGTCTATCTGTTGACATTAAGTACTAGATTGATCTTATAACAATCCTTCTGTTCACAGATGTGACATGCACAAGAGTCTGTGTTGGTCAACAGGTACACCTTGTACAGGATCATGTCGGGTATGAATTTAAGTAAAGCATGGTAACTTCATAGCATTAGCAAACATATGTAATATATATATATATGAAAAAAAGATGAAGCCATCCCATAACATATATATGAAAAAAGATTAAGCGATCCGATAATTTTTGAAAGCATTGATAAACCCTGTTTATAACACAAAGTGTTAGGAAAGTTGAGAGAAAAACCAGGAGGTACATGTATGTAGTACCACAAGTTGTCTCCCTTCCCCTGTAATCTATCTCCATGTTTCCAAGGATGGAAATTAAACCTTGCTTTTTATATCTCATTGAGACCAACATATTATCTATTTTCCCAGGCCCAATATATACTTAAACCACTAATTAGCATAACTTGTTTTGGCGGCAACTTCTGACATCTGAGTGACATACTCTACACAGATCTTGAAGTACATTAAATTTCCTTCAAAGAAATGGTAATTGTTTATGATATGCAAAGTAGATCAACCATATATAAGATATTATTTTCAAAAAGCTACGTCTCACAGCACTGATGGTATACCAGTATAAAATGTGGAAAAGAACGTACTGCATAAATAATATCACCGCTGTGGAACGGACACATGCACACAGCTGAGGTTATCTCCCTTAGTATTACAGCTGCAATGCTGATCGCCAGCTGTGATTACATCAATGCATAGTACGAAATTCATTTGACCCCAATTTTCTTTTTTCTATATACACAGCTAAAAACATTTACAACCAAATGTTAACGTCTGGTAGCTGTCAGGCTGACCTTAAAAACAGTTCTATGTGTAACACTGTTCCATTTAAGGAATGGGGTCAAGTAAGGGATGCAGATATCCAGCATTTATGTATGGTACAAGATAACATGAAGTGTACTACGCACAGGGGTTTGTAACCCTAGTCTGTGCTTTATTTATAAAAATATTGGTATGGTACAGGGATGACATATAGTGTACTATGCTACAGTAGTAGTTTATAACCCTAGTCTGTACTTATGTTACATTATACAGGGATAACATATAGTGAACTACGCTACAGTTGCGGTTTATAACTTAGCCTGTACTTATGTTACATTATACAGGGATGACATATAGTGTACTATGCTACAGTAGTGGTTTATAACCTAGCCTGTACTTATGTTACATTATACAGGGATGACATATAGTGTACTATGCTACAGTAGTGGTTTATAACCTAGCCTGTACTTATGTTACATTATACAGGGATGACATATAGTGTACTACGCTACAGTAGTGGTTTATAACCCTAGCCTGTACTTATGTTACATTATACAGGGATGATATATAGTGTACTACGCTACAGTAGTGGTGTATAACCTAGCCTGTACTTATGTTACATTATACAGGGATGACATATAGTGTACTACGCTACAGTAGTGGTTTATAACCTAGCCTGTACTTATGTTACATTATACAGGGATAACATATAGTGTACTATGCTACAGTAGTGGTTTATAACCTAGCCTGTACTTATGTTACATTATACAAGGATGATATATAGTGTACTACGCTACAGTAGTGGTGTATAACCTAGCCTGTACTTATGTTACATTATACAAGGATGATATATAGTGTACTACGCTACAGTAGTGGTTTATAACCCTAGCCTGTACTTATGTTACATTATACAGGGATAACATATAGTGTACTACGCTACAGTACAGGTGTTTATAGCCCTAGCCTGTACTTATGTTACATAATATAGGGATAACATATAGTGTGCTACGCTACAGAAGTGGTTTATAACCTAGCATGTACTTATGTTACATAATACAGGGATAACATATAGTGTACTATGCTACAGTAGTGGTTTATAACCTAGCCTGTACTTATGTTACATTATAAAGAGATAACATATAGTGTACTACGCTACAGTAGTGGTTTATAACCTAGCCTGTACTTATGTTACATTATACAGGGATGACATATAGTATACTACGCTACAGTTGTGGTTTATAACCTAGCCTGTACTTATGTTACATTATACGGGATAAAATATAGTGTACTACGCTACAGAAGTGGTTTATAGCCCTAGCCTGTACTTATGGTGTATAACCTAGCCTGTACTTATGTTACATTATACGGGATAACATATAGTGTACTACGCTACAGAAGTGGTTTATAGCCCTAGCCTGTACTTATGTTACATAATTCAGGGATAACATATAGTGTACTACGCTACAGTAGTGGTTTATAACCTAGCCTGTACTTATGTTACATAATACAGGGATAACATATAGTGTACTACGCTACAGTAGTGGTTTATAACCTAGCCTGTACTTATGTTACATTATACAGGGATAACATATAGTGTACTACGCTACAGTAGTGGTTTATAACCTAGCCTGTACTTATGTTACATTATACAGGGATAACATATAGTGTACTACGCTACAGTAGTGGTTTATAACCTAGCCTGTACTTATGTTACATTATACAGGGATAACATATAGTGTACTACGCTACAGTAGTGGTTTATAACCTAGCCTGTACTTATGTTACATTATACAGGGATAACATATAGTGTACTACGCTACAGTAGTGGTTTATAACCTAGCCTGTACTTATGTTACATTATACAGGGATAACATATAGTGTACTACGCTACAGTAGTGGTTTATAACCTAGCCTGTACTTATGTTACATTATACAGGGATAACATATAGTGTACTACGCTACAGTAGTGGTTTATAACCTAGCCTGTACTTATGTTACATTATACAGGGATAACATATAGTGTACTACGCTACAGTAGTGGTTTATAACCTAGCCTGTACTTATGTTACATTATACAGGGATAACATATAGTGTACTACGCTACAGTAGTGGTTTATAACCTAGCCTGTACTTATGTTACATTATACAGGGATAACATATAGTGTACTACGCTACAGTAGTGGTTTATAACCTAGCCTGTACTTATGTTACATTATACAGGGATAACATATAGTGTACTACGCTACAGTAGTGGTTTATAACCTAGCCTGTACTTATGTTACATTATACAGGGATAACATATAGTGTACTACGCTACAGTAGTGGTTTATAACCTAGCCTGTACTTATGTTACATTATACAGGGATAACATATAGTGTACTACGCTACAGTAGTGGTTTATAACCTAGCCTGTACTTATGTTACATTATACAGGGATAACATATAGTGTACTACGCTACAGTAGTGGTTTATAACCTAGCCTGTACTTATGTTACATTATACAGGGATAACATATAGTGTACTACGCTACAGTAGTGGTTTATAACCTAGCCTGTACTTATGTTACATTATACAGGGATAACATATAGTGTACTACGCTACAGTAGTGGTTTATAACCTAGCCTGTACTTATGTTACATTATACAGGGATAACATATAGTGTACTACGCTACAGTAGTGGTTTATAACCTAGCCTGTACTTATGTTACATTATACAGGGATAACATATAGTGTACTACGCTACAGTAGTGGTTTATAACCTAGCCTGTACTTATGTTACATTATACAGGGATAACATATAGTGTACTACGCTACAGTAGTGGTTTATAACCTAGCCTGTACTTATGTTACATTATACAGGGATAACATATAGTGTACTACGCTACAGTAGTGGTTTATAACCTAGCCTGTACTTATGTTACATTATACAGGGATAACATATAGTGTACTACGCTACAGTAGTGGTTTATAACCTAGCCTGTACTTATGTTACATTATACAGGGATAACATATAGTGTACTACGCTACAGTAGTGGTTTATAACCTAGCCTGTACTTATGTTACATTATACAGGGATAACATATAGTGTACTACGCTACAGTAGTGGTTTATAACCTAGCCTGTACTTATGTTACATTATACAGGGATAACATATAGTGTACTACGCTACAGTAGTGGTTTATAACCTAGCCTGTACTTATGTTACATTATACAGGGATAACATATAGTGTACTACGCTACAGTAGTGGTTTATAACCTAGCCTGTACTTATGTTACATTATACAGGGATAACATATAGTGTACTACGCTACAGTAGTGGTTTATAACCTAGCCTGTACTTATGTTACATTATACAGGGATAACATATAGTGTGCCGGGGCTTTAAGTTGGCAATGCTACAAGTGGTTACATTCTACATTCCGAGGACGATCCAAGTGACCCTTTATAGACTGTTACTCAGTCTGTGTGCTGTACATATACAGTTACAACACAAGGGGACATAACTCTACCTCCTCACCGCCGTGTATCCACTGCCCATCCACATGAAATTTATATTGATGCTCCCCCTCTGGCAGATCTAAAATCGTGATAAAGTTCCCATGGCTGAAAAACAGTGAAAGAGGTCCAAACATAAAACAAGGCCATAGCTGGTCTGTGTGTGTATGATTAGCATGCACACCAACACCAAACACGACTATAATTAGTGCAAGGTTAACTCTAAAGCATGGGAAACAATGACTGGCATGATGGCAGAAGCATAATTTCCACAAACCTTGGATACAAATAATTGTAGTGAGACAGGAGATAACTACGAAACATACCTTTTGATTCAATTAAAATGTATTAAAATATTAAGGTGAATCTGAATCTTAAAGTCCATACCAGGAATAAGACACTATAGCACATAAAAGGAAACAATATAATACTTGGTAAGTTTTTAAAGAAAAGCCAAAAAAATAAAACTAACACCCAATGAGTGTCAATTTATATAATTACAACACAGATAGATATTTAGAATAGGTACCTTATTTATTTTTACTTTCTGTCAAGTTTCTGTTTCGTGATAAAATGACAGGTCAGTTTAAAATACCAGTACAATGGTAGCTAGCTAGTATGATCACATACGTTACTAAATACCAGTACAATGGTAGCTAGCTAGTATGATCTTATACGTTACTAAATACTAGTACAATGGTAGCTAGCCAGTATGATCTCATACGTTACTAAATACCAGTACAATGGTGGCTAGCCAGTATGATCTCATATGTTACTAAATACCAGTACAATGGTAGCTAGCTAGTATGATCTCATATGTTACTGTCTTATACAGTATGTGATTTAAAAGTACAAGCTGAATCGTGTGTTATTTCCTGTGCCACTTGAGTACTTAGTAAACATAGCTGTACAACATTCACAGTGGTCTCTATCTGTCAACATTGTACTGACAGCAAAACCTCATAATATCATTGTCAATACATAGCACAAGGTTCACTACAGAATGTTGTATAAACATAACACCAGTAGTTGCTCATTGCTTTCCTGTCAGTACATAATGGTGACTGGGAGAGAAAATCAGCTAGTGTTAGGAGGGATGGTAACTGGGAGAGAAAATCAGTTAGTGTTAGGAGGGATGGTAACTGGGAGAGAAAATCAGCTAGTGTTAGGAGGGATGGTAACTGCATGCTCTACAATAAAACACAGCAGACAAATCTCGTTCTGTGTTCACAGCAGGACACCTGTTCATCTAGCCTGGCCATTTTGTTTGTAAGTAAGCAATCTGTTTTTGAGGATACTTAGCACTGGAAAAATCCTTCTCCTTACTCCAGTAATTAGATACATGTACTTTTGCATGTAATAAAACTATTACTTGGTACATGTACATAACACATTCCTTTTTGTCCTAGATTGTCACAGACATGTACTGAATGGGCCACAAAACCTTATAATTAGTAGATACATAAATACGGAACAATAGACAAAATGTTGGATAATGAGTATCTGTAGGATCTCTGTGACCTGGTGTTATAATAAACCGTGAGAGGAACAGGAGTCCTGCTACGTACACAGTTGTACAAAGGTGGAGTACCTCATTCTGGCTATGTACCCATTGACCATCAACAAAAAACTTATATTGATGATCTCCTTCCTCTAAATTCACCATAGCAAAAAAATCACCATGGCTGAAATCATAATACAATATACATTTAAAGTGACATTTACTACTAGATTACTGGTGTTTAGTCACTAATCACTGATCACTAGTAGTAAGTGAAATTCATGGCCATCTGTTCACTAGAAATAAGTAAAAGGTCATGGCCATCTGTTCACTAGTAATAAATAAAAAGATCATGACCGTCTGTTCACTAGGAATTATTAAAGGTCAGGGCCATCTGATCACTAGTATTTAGTAACAGGTCAAGGCCATCTGATCACTAATAATAAGTAAAAGGTCATGGCCATCTGATCACTAGTATTTAGTAACAGGTCATGGCAATCTGATCACTAGTTATAAGTAAAAGGTCATGGCCATCTGATCACTAGTAATAAGTTTAAGGTCATGGCCATCTGATCACTAGTAATAAGTAAAAGGGCATGGCCATCTGATCACTAGTAATAAGTAAAAGAGGCCATGGCCGTCTGTTCACTAGTAATAGGTAAAAGATCATGGCCGTCTGATCATTGGTAATAAGTAAAAGGTCATGGCTATCTGATCACTAGTAATAAGTAAAAGGTCAAGGCCATCTGATCACTAGTAATAAGTAAAAGGGCATGGCCATTTGATCCCTAGTAATAAGTAAAAGAGGCCATGGCCGTCTGTTCCCTAGTAATAAGTAAAAGGTCATGGCCATCCGATCACTAGTAATAAGTAAAAGATCACGGCCATCTGATCACTAGTAATAAGTAAAAGATCATGGTCGTCTGATCATTGGTAATAAGTAAAAGGTCATGGTCATCTGATCACTAGTAATAAGTAAAAGATCATGGCCATCTGATCACTAGTATTTAGTAAAAGGTCATTGCCATCTGATCACTAGTATTTAGTAACAGGTCATGGCGATCTGATCACTTATATTTAGTAACAGGTCATGGCCATCTGATCCCCAGTAATAAAAAAAGGTCATGGCCTTCTGTTCACTAGTAATTATTAGAGGTCATGGCCATCTTATCACTAGTAATAAAAAAAGATCATGGCCGTCTGATCATTGGTAATAGGTAAAAGGTCATGGTCATCTGAACACTAGTAATAAGTAAAAGATCACGGCCATCTGATCACTGGTAATAAGTAAAAGATCACGGCCATCTGATCGCTAGTAATAAGTAAAAGATCATGGTCGTCTGATCATTGGTAATAGGTAAAAGGTCATGGTCATCTGAACACTAGTAATAAGTAAAAGATCATGGTCGTCTGATCATTGGGAATAAGTAAAAGGTCATGGTCATCTGAACACTAGTAATAAGTAAAAGATCACGGCCATCTGATCGCTAGTAATAAGTAAAAGATCATGGCCATCTGTTCACTAGTAATAAGTAAAAGATCATGGCCATCTGTTCACTAGTAATAACAAGAGGCCCATGGGCCTTAGCGGTCACCTGAGTTATATCATAGGTACTGGTAGCTTTATTTTATTGTTTAGATGTGATGTGGAAATCAGCATGTAAACTAAGTGAAATACAATACTTGTCCTGTCATCAATGGATAAGAATTTGAAAATATTGGTAAATGTTCCCTTTGGGGCCCTGCCCTAGCCCCTGGGGATGGGGCAGGAATCCTAATTTTACAAAGTAAAACTCTCATTTACCCAAGATGATTCTGACTAAGTTTGAGCAATTTTCTGCTGAAAATGGATAAAATATATACCGAAAAGTGTTATTTCCCTATATAAACTATAGTAAAATCACTAGTATTTAGTAACAGGCCATGGCCATCTGATCACTAGCAATAAGTAAAAGGTCATGGCCATATGATCACTAGTAATAAAAAATGAGGCCATGGCCGTCTGTTCACTAGTAATTCTTAGAGGTCATGGCCATCTTATCACTAGTAATAAAAAAAAGATCATGGTCATCTGATCACTAGTAATAAGGAAAAGAGGCCATGGCCGTCCGTTCACTAGTAATTATTAGAGCCTTCCATCTATGAAGAGTATCTGATTCTACCATATCTGGGTCTTGAGAAGAAGATTTTTGAAATATTGAGTAATTTTCCCTTAGGGGCCCCGCCCTGGCTCCAGGGGTCGGGGTAGGATTCTCAATTTTGCAATTTGAAACCATCTACCTCCAAGGATAATTCTCACCAAGTAAAAATAATTTCCTACAGAAAGTTGTCAAAATATACCCAAAAGTGTTATTTCCCTATATAAACTATAGTAAAATCACTAGTATTTAGTAACAGGTCATGGCAATCTGCTCACTAGTAATAAGTAAAAGATCACGGCCATCTGATCGCTAGTAATAAGTAAAAGATCATGGTCGTCTGATGATTGGTAATAAGTAAAAGGTCTTGGCCATCTGATCACTAGTAATATAAAAAAGAGGCCATGGCCATCTGTTCACTTATAATTATTAAAGGTGAGGACAATCTGATCACTAGTATTTAGTAACAGGTCATTGCAATCTGATCACTAGTAATAAGAAAAAGGTCATGGACATCTGATCACTAGTAATAAGAAAAAGGTCATGGACATCTGATCACTAGTAATATAAAAAGAGGCCATGGCCGTCCGTTCACTAGTAATTATTAGAGGTCATAGTCATCTGATCACTAGTAATATAAAAAAAGAGGCCATGGCCGTCTGTTCACTAGTAATAAGTAAAAGGTTATGGCCATCTGATCACTAGCAATAAACAAGAGGCCCAAGGGCCTTAGCGGTCACCTGAGTTATATCATAGGTACTGGTAGCTTTATTTTATTGTTTAGATGTGATGTGGAAATCAGCATGTAAACTAAGTGAAATACAATACTTGTCCTGTCATCAATGGATAAGAATTTGAAAATATTGGTAAATGTTCCCTTTGGGGCCCTGCCCTAGCCCCTGGGGATGGGGCAGGAATCCTAATTTTACAAAGTAAAACTCTCATTTACCCAAGATGATTCTGACTAAGTTTGAGTAATTTTCTGCTGAAAATGGATAAAATATATACCGAAAAGTGTTATTTCCCTATATAAACTATAGTAAACTTTCCCCCCTCCCCAAGGGAGAACGGGTAGCTCGGGGGTCCTGTAATTTACAATTTAAGTAAAGCCCCTGATGATCTTTCTTTCCACGCAGAGAAAATGAGTGTAGTACCTCTGAGTCTGGAGGAGAAGATTTTTGAAATATTGATTAATTTTCCCTTTGGGGCCCCGCCCTGGCCCCAGGGGTCGGGGTAGGAATCCCAATTATACAATTTGAAACCATCTACCTCCAAGGATAATTCTCACAAAGTAAAAATAATTTCCTACAGAAAGTTGTCAAAATATACCCAAAAGTGTTATTTCCCTATATAAACTATAGTAAACATTACCCCCCCCCCAAGGGAGAACGGATAGCGCGGGGGTCCTGAAATTTACAATTTAAGAATAGCCCCTGATGATCTTTCTTTCCACGCAGAGAAAATGAGTGTAGTACCTCTGAGTCTGGAGGAGAAGATTTTTGAAATATTGAGTAATTTTCCCTTAGGGGCCCCGCCCTGGCTCCAGGGGTCGGGGTAGGATTCTCAATTTTGCAATTTGAAACCATCTACCTCCAAGGATAATTCTCACAAAGTAAAAATAATTTCCTACAGAAAGTTGTCAAAATATACCCAAAAGTGTTATTTCCCTATATAACGGCCATCTGATCACTAGTATTTAGTAAAAGGTCATTGCCATCTGATCACTAGTATTTAGTAACAGGTCATGGCGATCTGATCATTAACATTAAGTAAAAGGTCATGGCCATTTGTTCACTAGTAATTATTAGTGGACATGGCCATCTGATCACTAGGAATAAGTAAAAGAGGCCATGGCCGTCCGTTCACTAGTAATTATTAGAGGTCAGGGCAATCTGATCCCTAGTATTTAGTAACAGGTCATGGCAATCTGGGCACTAGTAATAAGTAAAAGGTTATGGCCATCTGATCACTAGGAATAAGTAAAAGAGGCCATGGCCGTCCGTTCACTAGTAATTATTAGAGGTCATGGCCATCTGATCCCCAGTAATAAAAAAAGGTCATGGCCTTCTGTTCACTAGTAATTATTAGAGCCTTCCATCTATGAAGAGTATCTGATTCTACCATATCTGGGTCTTGAGAAGAAGATTTTTGAAATTTCAGTCAATTCAACCCTTTTTGGCCCCACCCATCAGCCCCTGGGGGTCAGTCAGGGCTGATATGTATGCGCTTATTATCAAACTGCTACCTAATACTGATAATGCTAACCCAAATTGAATTACTTCCAATGGAAATTAAACAAATGTTGGTCCAAAATGTGATTTCCCTATATAAACTATAGTAAAATCACTAGTATTTAGTAACAGGTCATGGCGATCTGATCATTAACATTAAGTAAAAGGTCATGGCCATCTGATCACTAGTAATAAAAAAGGAGGCCATGGCCGTCTGTTCACTAGTAATTATTAGAGGTCATGGCCATCTGATCACTAGTAATAAAAAAAGGTCATGGCCATCTGTTCACTAGTAATTATTAGAGGTCAGGGCAATCTGATCACTAGTATTTAGTAACAGGTCATGGCGATCTGATCACTTATATTAAGTAAAAGGTCATGGCCATCTGATCGCTAGTAATTAATAAAAGGTCATGGCCATCTGATTGCTAGTAATTAGTAAAAGTTCATGGCCATTTGTTCACTGTTAACTATAAGAGGTCAGGGCCATCTGATCACTAGTATTTAATAAAAAGTCATGGCCATCTGATTGCTAGTAATTAGTAAAAGGTCATGGCCATCTGTTCACTAATAATTATTAGAGGTCAGGGCCATCTGATCACTAGTTTTTAGTAAAAGGTCATGGCCATCTGATCGCTAATAATAAGTAAAAGGTCATGGCCATCTGATTGCTAGTAATAAAAAAAAGATCATGGTCATCTGATCACTAGTAATAAAAAAAAGACCATGGCCATCTGATCACTAGTAATAAAAAAAGATCATTGCCATCTGATCACTAGTAATTAGTAAAAGGTCATGGCCATCAGATCACTAGTAATAAAAAAAAGGTCATGGCCATCTGATCACTAGTAATAAAAAAAAATATCATGGCCATCTGTTCACTAGTAATAAGTAAAAGGTCATGGCCATCTGATCACTAATAATAAGTAAAAGGTCATGGCCATCTGATCACTAGTAATAAAACAAGAGGCCCAAAGGGCCTGTAAGGGCCTGTATCGCCCACCTGAATGTGTTTAAAATAATTGGTATGAAGTAAAGATATAGCACTCAATGGTAGGTGCTGTAAGGACATATGAATTTTCAGAAAGAACCATCCAGTACTTGAGATATAGCGAGAACAAACTTCAAACAGAGCCCCACCCCTATGGCTCTAGGGGGGTCATACCCACTGTTTATACAAAATTAAGTCTCCTTGGCCCAAGGATGCTCCAGACTAAATAAGGATAAAATTCCTTAATCCCGATGGTCGAAGAAGGATTTTAAAGGTTTCACCTCTAATTCCCCTATTAGGCCCCGCCTCTCTGCTTCCAGGGGGTTTAGACACACCGTTTATACAAAATTGGTTCCCCTTCACCCAAGGAGGCTTCATACCAAATTTGGACAAAATCCTGTCATTAGTACAGAAGAAGGTTTTTGAAGAATTTGCTATGTTTTCCCTAATGGGCCCGCCAATCTGCCCCCAGGGGGGCCACACTCACTGATTATACAAAATTTAGTTCATTTTGCCCAAGATTCTCCAGACCAAATTGGGAAGAAATCTCTTCATCCCTATGGTAGAAGAAGGATTTTAAAGATTTACCTCTTTTTCGCCTATTAGGCCCCATCCTTCTGCCCCTTGGAGATGNTCGAAGAAGGATTTAAAAAAGTTTTACCTCTATTTCCCCTATTGGGACCGCCCCTCAGGTCCAAGGGGGGGCGGGGGGCGGCACACCCAGCATTTATACTAAATGTGTTCCCCTTTACCCATGGATACTCCTCACAAAATATGGACCAAATTCTTTCATTCCGACAGAATAAGAAGGATTTTAAAGAATAATTTGCTATGTTTCCCCTATTGGGCCCACCCCTAAGGCCCCTGGGGGGCCAGACCCACGGTTTATACATATTGGTTCCTCTTCACCCCAGGATACTTCAGACCAAATATGGACCAAATTCTTTTCATTCCTACAGAAGGAGAAGGATTTTAAAGACTAATTTGCTATGTTTCCCCTATTGGACCTTGCCCCTCAAGCCCCTGGAGGGCCAGACCCACGCTTTATACAAAATTGGTTCCCCTTCACCCAAGAATGCTTCAGACCAAATATGGACCAAATCCTTTCATTCCTACAGAATGGGAAGGATTTTAAAGAATTTACTTTGTTTCTCCTATTGGGCCCCGCCCCTCAGGCCCCTGGGGGGCCAGACCCACTGTTTATAAAAAATTGGTTCCCCTTCACCCAAGGATGATTCAGACTTAATATGGAACAAATCCTTTCATACCTGCAGAAGAAGAAGGATTCAAAAGAATTTGCTATATTTCCCCTATTGGGCCCCGCCCCTCAGCCGCCTGGGGGTCCAGACCCATTATATATACAAAATTTGTTCCCCTTCCCCCAAAGATGCTTCTGACCAAATTTGGTCAAAATCTACTGACCTGTTCAGGACAAGTAGCATTTTAAAGGAAAAGTTGACGGACGGACGAAGGATGCTGCGCCATGGCAAAAGCTCACTTGCTCTCGGGCAGGTAAGCTTAAAAGGAGATCATGGCCATCTGATCACTAATAATTATTAGAGGTCAGGGCAATCTGATCACTAGTATTTAGTAACAGGTCATGGCAATCTGATCACTAGTAATAAGTAAAAGGTCATGGCCATCTGATCACTAGTAATAAAAAAAGAGGCCATGGCCGTCTGTTCACTAGTAATTATTAGAGGTCATGGTCATCTGATCACTAGTAATAAAAAAAAGGTCATGGCCATCTGTTCACTAGTAATTATTAGAGGTCAGGGCAATCTGATCACTAGTATTTAGTAACAGGTCATGGCAATCTGATCACTAGTAATAAGTAAAAGGTCATGGCCATCTGATTGCTAGTAATTAGTTAAAGGTCATGGCCATCTGATCACAAGTAATTAGTAAAGGTCATGGCCATCTGGTCACAAGTAATTAATAAAGGTCATGGCCATCTGATCACTAGTATTTAATAAAAAGTCATGGCCATCTGATTGCTTGTAATTAGTAAAAGGTCATGGCCATCTGATTGCTAGTAATTAGTAAAAGGTCATGGCCATCTGATTGCTAGTAATAAAAAAAAGGTCATGGCCGTCTGATCTCAAGTAATTAGTAAATGGCATGGTCATCTGATCACTATTAATGAGTAAAGGTCAAGATGTAATTTTTGTCTATTTTTGATCTAGTAAAACATACAAGTTTGGACGGATAGCAAATACACAATATAATAACCATATCAAATCATGAAAGAGACCATTCTCGAAAGTAATTCTATGCATGGAATGGAATTTGGACATTTTTTCAAGATGGATCCCTTNCCTTTGTTACAGTGCAATAGCTATAGCAATAGGGGGGGGGGGGAGAAACTCACACCGTAATAACTAACACAAAAGGAAGATGATTTTTTGAAATTATAATATACATTATATGGACATTTTATCATTAAACCAGTAAAGAATGAATAGTAATTAGCTATGAAAGCCATGCAGCAACTTATTACTTGCAAGTAATCATCAACATTAACAATATTTTAACATCAATTTTTTAATGTGTTCATCATCATGGGCATATGTAACACAATATATCTATATCTAGTGGTATAAATACCCTATGTATAGTATTACACAAATCTCCAGTCGAACATTAAAGACAGGGATCTGACATTTGACATCTACGACCCAAACTTGGGAGATGGAATATCTAAGCCACAAAAAATGTAGGGCACATGAAATGCACATATAGTTGTTATGTATGCCTTAATTATATAAGGTTTCTACAAATGACCTTTTAGGTATGACCTTTCAGTGATGGGACCTTGAAAAGATATTTAGGACTAGTCTAAAAAAAGTTTACAAGAATACACTGTCACACGTGCACATGGCCCCTATTTTATATGTCATGACGAGAGATCTTTTACTTAACTTAATTCCACAAGAGTCTGTCCCTTTTCGTCATTGGTAATATTTTCAATGCAACATTTTCACAAAATTGGAAAAATATGTTGTTTTTTCATAAAACATAATAATACAAAAAAAAAACATAAATGTTTATCAATGTATTTTCAATATAAAATTTGAATAGTTTTCATTTGTGATAAAATAAATAAATTTGTGCCTTCCAGGTTTTTTTTATTTGGGAAAATGTGTCTTGATTTTGGGATAAGCTTTTTTAGGGTTTACAGAAAAATTCACTGACAAAAGAAATGATTAATATACTTGTCCATTTTATGGCTTACTGATGCAAATGAACTTGTATAGAAACAATAGATTTTACATTACCTTGAATTTCTTAATTCTGATCCAGAAATTTGTACTTTTAACAAATATATCTATAGATATGTTCACATAATAGGTATATTCAACAATTCATATAAACTTTAATAAACATCAGCTATTAAATAGGTTATCAGCACAAAATTATTTTTTAACTTTAATCGATTTAGAAATGCGTAAAGTTACACTTATTGTAGTTAATAGAGAAGCCACACCGGCTGAAGTACCTTTTGGCGAGCGGTATCTTTTGCCGCCACTGATTGAACGTTCCTGATATGTACACTTCCTTGCCCCCGCCTTCCCATTTGAACACTGTAGGTAATAACTTCTCTTTAAGATTCTCAGGGTCGCCCTGACTTTGTGTAGTGGCAGCTCTTGCTCTCTGAAATGTAAAACTTTGCATTTATATATATATATTTAAAATAATAATATACAAACAGGTCAAATTTACATAAATGTAAGTCCTTGTGTGCTGTAGTGTGTATATTTGGTATTGATTTTCATATTAGGTCATAAAATGAATGTTATGGTTCCTGTTACGGCCAAAAAAAGTTCAGTTCTCATTAACAGATGGGTTTTTTTTCCAGTCAAAGGAAATCTTGAATTTGTCTGACAGCATTAAATGTATATTATGGTTTTTACTCTTACTTTTTTTAAATCCTCACAAAAGACACTATAAAAACACATTCTTTGATTTCATGTTACAGAGATAAGGTTTCAAGATTGTTGTGCGCATTTGCCACATTTTCAACCATCTTATGATCATTACTGTAGAGATGGTTACTGTTTTGGTCATTATTAGAACACTCACTGGCTGATAGTCAATTTTAGATGTCATTTATCATTATATGTAGAAATCAGAAGTGAAGGTCAAGGATTTGAAAAAAATAATAGATGTACAGACAGTAAAAATAGTACAATCTATTCTCCAAAATGTGTTTTTTATCAAATGATGAACTCTCAAATAAATATAATAAATGAACTTGTCAATACACAAACGGTAACATGTATGAAGGTCCACTACTTAGTCTCCATCTTGTTGTTCTTTGTCTTACCACTCCATCATTATACAGACTTTCATTCACTTCCACCTCAAATGCCCTGGCATCATGTAAGTCCTGTAGGAAATGTTCCATTTCTCCGTGCATAAACATGATTACTGTGGCAAGGTGCAGAAGAACCTAAAAAATGTTTCCCTGTCGATTTCGGATGTCGAAAGTGTAAACAGCTTTTGACCTCGTGCCAGAATTATCGACTAAGCAGCAGCGACAACATAAATAAAACTATACCATACCACTTGCGTTGTCATAAGAGACACACATTTTCACATTAGCTTATTATATATTGGTTAAACAAACATGTTGACTTTAAGGACAACTGAGAGAGAGAGGACAGAACACCTCGAAATTAGTACACGCATGCATGTAAACAATTGCTAAATATTCAGATCCTTTTAAGATGACCTTGACCTTTAAGCCATCACGAAAGGTCTTTATTCAGAAATAAGCTGACGGTGTGCATGAAAAAAAGACGGATATTTTCTACCAACCCATCAATACCTACCCGAAAGTTTGGTGGAAGGACATCTGGTGGGTCAAATGATCCTGAATCGTTCATATATCGACCAGCTGTTAACGATGGGCCCATATCATCTCCAGACGCATGGCGACCCTTCGGAGTCGTATTTCCCATATTTTCACAGGATTTATAATGAGATCGGTCGGCGTAATTGAAGTAGAAGAATGTTGAATAGAAGTATGAAGTTTTTTTTAGAAATAAGCGGCTATAAAGAAGAAGAATTCAGTCGAAAAGATGCAGGCAGTGACGTCGCCAGCTCGGCAGGTTCAACTGAATGGCATGTGCGTGGACTATTTACACGTCAAAACAAACAGACATCAATCAAAAGAACAATTCAATTATCCCCTACTTTAACAGTATAATGTTTTAAGAGTAAACTATGTCATTCTGCCCCTGACTTCCATTCCGGTCAAACATATATCAATTAATGGATCGCGAGGTGAACGAAGCGGTCTGCAAAGGTAAACAAACATGGAGGATGATCAACTCCATTTGCGCATGACAAATTGAATCCTGGGACTCGGCGAAACTAAATTTTGGTACGTAAACCGTGAGGGAATTTCGGATTTCGGATTGTTCACAGTTACAACAATTATTTCAATACATTTTATTGAAATAACTACCAACCAAATCAATAAGTGCTTAGCCAGCAAAAGTTATAGGAAATTACAAAATATATTTGCACCGTTGGCTTAATCATTCATTCAGGCGCAGCTTTAAGAATTAGTGATCAAGTCGAGGATTAACATAAATCCGATTAATAATCATGGAAGCCGCGTTATCGCTATCTATGATTTTATTCTTTGATTCACGAAATAAACTTATTATTATGCATGCCAGCTGTATAATTTGTCGTTTTAGATCCTAATCACAGGGAGTAAAGTAATATCACAGATCACGGGATGTGATGAACATTTTATCAGAAGAAGTTGTGAACAGCGAATAGTAAAACTAGTTATGTTCGCTTGGAGAAGGAACAACCACGTGGTCTGATACGTATTTTTGCAGTACTTATCCTGTAATCTAAAATAATTTAGACTCCCTAACCCCCTCTTCCTTTTCTCCTCCCCCTCTCACCCAATCTCTCTCTCCTTTCCTTATCTGCATGTGCATGTTTATACTTGTGCGCATGTGTGTGGTTGGGTGTGTGAATGTGTGTATGTATGTTAACTTATTAATTAATTTATCTTACATAGCTTATTGTCGTATTTCTGCCATCTTGATTTTTGTTTACATAAATATTATTGTACAGGGAAAGAGCTTGATATAAGTTGTACAACTTGTGCCCAATTCCATTGCTATGTAAAAAAGGCAATAAAATATGTTTAAATAAAAAAATCACAAATCACACTAGTTATGACTGCATTCAACAACTAATGTGTTTGTAGTTTTATACGATTCGAACGAAACCACAAGGTACCGCCACACCATGTCAGTAGATGTACAATGACACTGGTACAGACCCAAATGTGTAACCGGCAGTCCGGACAACAAATAACAAATCTCAAAAGGTGACGAGGACATCCACCGGATCAACAATGGAGAGGTAAGAGAGGATATAATGAGAGAATTATATGGCGAAGCACAGGAAACTGGTAATATTATTTCTTGAAAGGCGAGTTCGGGCGGCGAAGGGGTAAGTTTCCAAAAGTAGCATAGGGTCAGTTTGTCCTAAGGTATGGTCGCATGTATTTTTTTCGATGCTGTGCATCAGAAAGGCTAACTCGCCACTTTCGCCACGCAATGTTTTTTTTTATTACACATATATTGTCTATGTGTATATGTCGATATCATTACAGAAAAATCACCTGTTCACAGTAAATCTTCAGTTCTTAAACAAGAACCATTATGCTTGCAATTGATGGCGCCATTTGGAAACATTTGATTTTTGCAGTGATTTTTTGAGGCATTTCTGGTGTATGTGCACACCAACTATTATGATCAATGGAAGGCGGTACCTGCCGCTTTTGTTTGGACTTTTAATTAGTCATAGATTTTTTTGCGGTTTCAAATGGTCCTTATGGTAACCCCGAGCGTATTGAACTTCCGCCATACTGCAATACATCTCTGGTGTCATGTACTATTTTGTATTTGTTAACTTTCCAGGTACATTGTAAGTGCTGTTTGTGGCCATTATTACAGAGAACCAGTATAAAAAATACTCCTGTATTTATCCCACCTGGACGTACGTGCTGCACTCACAGCTTGGGCTTGCGCCATATGTTGAGGCGATTCGATCGAGTTTGATGCCGTCTTGCTGAATCACAGGACCGTTGTTCTGGTTAATGGCGATGGTGACACGCTGCTTGGCCATGTCCTTGTACGCAATCGTTTGTTTGGTCGGGTTAAATCGTCTGTTTGGTCGGGTTAAATCGGCTTTGGAGACTAAGTACATCAAGCATCACGTTAACTATGTGATTTATCACGAGTTTTGCTCGAGTTCTTCGTTCCGATGTTTTTCTTTATTGCTCCGCCGCTGCTGCGATGTGGTATGAGGGTCCCAGATGACACAGGACTACTTCATTACCGATCTGACCACCGTCTTATAACACAGTTCACTGGTCTCCTGAGGGAACCTGTTTCTTTGCTTTTATCGAGCAAGCATTCTTTGACAATCGGTCAATATGGATGTTCCAGCTCATTTCCCCGACACTATTAACTACTTGGCACTTCGCAGTATTTGGCTTTTCAACGGCTTGTTCTTTTTCAAACATTCATGACTTGGTATTTCATGTGAAGAAGTTTCATGAGTCAATCTTGCCCCAACTTTTGCATAGTATTGCTATCGTCCTGTAGTTTGGATGCGTCATCGCTTACGTTCTCTGCACCCCTGGAACATGTCATGATAAAATTGAAGGCGCGGACTTGACTATTTAATTGGTTTAAGGAACAAAACATTGACCAATCACTAGGTTGATACCCGGACGATTACGACGGAGCGACACCTTCAAGTCGATTTCACCGCATAGTATTTTTGATGTACATCAAAGGATCAAACTTTTTTTCTTGTACTATCCACAAGGTGTATAGCGTTAAACATAGACTTCGATTTCGTCGTGACATATTCCAGGGATGCAGAGAAAGTAAGCGTGGCTCCTGGAGTATCGAGGATGACATTTATGAAGGATACAGTCGTCTCCAAAACAGACGAAAACAAGAACATTGTCTGATCCATTAAGGAGTTGATGAGTAGGAGGAATGACAGTGGTCCTACGACGCCCCGTTGAGGCAACCCATACTGAACGGTTGTGGTTCTGGACAGGCGGTCATCCAGAGTGTCATGCTGGTGTCGATCATGGAAAGATCTGCGTCTCCATAAATGTGTGTGTTCTCTTTGATTCCAATATATTCCATACTGTGTAGGAGTCTCTCATGCGGTACCTGGTCATTGAAAGTTTCGAAGAAGTCCAGCAGTAAAAAATGGCAAGGTCTTGTTTGGTGGACCTCACAGGAACGCCCTTTTACTATATAGTGTTGGTCCAGTTGACGAGACGTGGTGGATCTAATGATGCAGTACACTTGTCTCTACTTCTCTGGCTGATTCTTCTCACACCTTTTCAATGTGTGACTGATTGCTGTTTGTTTCTACTCACCTGGGATGGCACCTAGAGTTACCGAATCCGTCAGTCGCATAGTGATGACTTTTGCTTGATCTGTAGCAAGTCCTTCAAGAGTCTGGATGGTATCTCGCCCGGCTCATTTACCTTATAATCTTGGAAGGTTGCAAAGAGTTGCGTGTCTCTCTTGCTTGTAAACTGATAGACTGCATATCTGGGCTTGGGTGTTACATTCACTGATGCCAAGGAGACACGAATGCCAGGCAGGGAGTTCAGACGTGGTCACCGTAGGGAAACTGAAGTTTTTGTGTAGGTATAGTTGAGTGTCAAAGATATAATTTGTTTAATGTTGGAGCTGTTTTGGTACATGCCTCATTGAACCTGAATTTTGCAGGCACAGCAAATATTCCAATACTAAGATGATAATTGTTATGGCACAAACTTCGTCTAGTGTGTCTACGACCAATTGCAGTTCTTGTAGTGTGTTTTCTTATATGTCCAGTTTGACATGATGTTGTTAAGCTATCACACTTCTTTGACGTAATCAGACGTTAAACATTTTTTCCGTCCTAATCTTCGTAATACATCATGCGAAGACACGAGTAGCAAGACATAATGTATGCGCTGATCTCCATAAATTTTGGCTTGTCACGTGTAAGTAGACATAGATTACACGTTCTCATTCATATCTGTATTGCATGGAAAGACACGTGTTACTAGACATACATTGGCCCTCATATCCTTAACATATGACAAGACGAATGTAACTAGACAGCTCCCGGGCCGTGCAAATATCGTGTATATGTGACAACAGAGATGTATGTCCGTCCTGATATCCGTTATATAACTAAACATAAACAGGAAGTATAATCTTAAAACACATATCCAAGTTTAACTAAATATGGGATGAAATCAATGTGTCTTGTGGTTCCCTAATGATTGGATCTGTCATTGTCGACACACCTGAGCTATGAGTGTAACACGGCACAAGTGTGCGTGGGTCTAATGCTCAGTCGATTTCTGACCATAGCAACCACCGATAAGAGCAGAGTCCCCGTGTCCCCAAGACCCCCTGGGCGGTATATCAACAGCCCCGTGTCACATCCTATATATATATATCGGCCCACTTCACTCGATCAGAGAGACAATGCCTACCTATACCAGTAGATATGGTGTTCTCCACCACATCATATCTCTTGGGCCCACTTCTCTCAATCAAGTAGCCGACTGATAAATATGAGGCTCCTACCATATCATATTCGTTTATATCTTTGCCACTGCTCACTCTGCCAGCGATCCTTCTACAAATCATTCAGCAATAATTATGCGAATTTCTTTCATCATTTTATTTCAGCAAAGACAATGCGCACATAATCATTACTTAAGAACACATATCTTGTAATGACCATTGATGACAGAAATACAATATAACGGTAATATGTTATATACCGACAGAACAACAATGTGAACGGATGCAGTGGGAAAAGCTGAGAGTTCTCTGACTCGATATTACGGAAACGAGTTTTTCTGATATAATAAGGTCAAAATGAACCTTATGGTTAAACACTATCATTGTCATAATCACTTTTATGCAGAAGTATTTCACATAAATTACTTTCCGCAATGCATTTATATTTGCATCTAGTTATAGTTCTTCAAAATTTGAAAATAAATAAATGACAATATATACATAAACTACAGGGGTCGACGTCGGAACCTGTCCACTGATAACCCTGTACTTTAATAAAAAAAAAAAAATTAATAAATACACCACACCAAAACCAGAGACCTTTAGATATAAGTCCCGACTTGATTCTTATCTCCTATAAAGAAGGATGAATACTCCGGATCCTAGTCGGAAAACGATTATAACTCATGCAATGGTACCTTGTACCTTAGTCAGTACATTGTCAGTAAAAGTAAAACTCAATACAGCGCACATAATGACATGTAATATCTATACTTGGTATATATATAGTTAGTACATTGTCAGTAAAAGTAAAACTCAATACAGTGCACACAATGACATGCTATATCTGTACTTGGTTTCATTATATCGGAAATGTCCCAAATATCAGAGATTAATCACTACGTAAATCAAGTATTGTTACGTGACATGAGAATGTAACAATATTGACCAATGAAATCACTTCAAGGGTGTTACCCACTAGTATTCACCGACTCATAGCAGGTTTATGCAATGAGTCCTGAGTGAGGAAACCTACAGTGGTTGTGGTAGAAAATACGATATATGCTTTATCAGCATCAATACAATGTACTTACTCAGTATCCGTATCAATACAAGTGTATGTACTCATAAATACAGTAGCTGAATACAATTTGATTGTTGATATTTAGGAAGATGTTGATGACTGAATCATCTGGAGTCGGATAAGGATGATTGAATATCAATCTTAAGGGAAAAAATCTATATATGTAATCGTGAATTCCTGAGTAAAGCAGATGACAATTTACGCGTAGATGTCATTTCTATGCGAACATTTTATTTTTATAGTTTGTATGCATGTTTCTCAAGCGATGGACGTCAATGTAGGAAGGTAAAAATGTCCAGGTAGCCAGGGATTCGTGTTTGATCCTGTGCCAGTTACGCTCGTTTAAAGGTGGTATTTATACACACACCTGTCGAATGCATTTAAAGTAGTTCAATACAGGTAATACTCAACTGTCGTTATCATAATCCTTCAATGGTTTAAATTGAACAATTTACCCCCGAGCTCGCGTAGTCTGGTTAGCTGGGTCGGGTGATAGACAATACGAAGCCAGGCGAGAAGGCTGTAAACTGGGTTGTGGTAGGATTTTCAATTAACATTCATTCATCTCGACCGGTCTGTCGTGTGAAGTCACTGCCACGAAGTGTGGAGTATAGATTGACTCGGAGGAGTTGCCAAGTGCCAGTTGGGGTTTGACCACGACCAGTTGATAGTGTGGCCATTTAATTGAGATGAAACGATGGAAATATGTGTGGTACTAAAAGAAAACGTGCAATAGTGTTGTGAGTTTCTTTTTTTAACATTTATTGACGATTATATTGGATATTATTTTTCGTCCTGGTTGGATTTATCGGATAGCGGACATCATGTTTATATGTGTAAAGTACGGGGACAACGAGAGCCTAATATGTAACCCCATGTGCGCCGTCATCAACCTCCTCAACAGCATCAAACGACGAGCAGGTTACGGCAACACAAACGTCACTGTGGACCTGTCGGACGAGACCGGTAAGTGTCAAACAGTTAAGGACATACGTTACGGTAATTTTTATGTCATGGAACACGGGCCGCCAATTTTAGCCCCCCTCCGATGGCTTGGTAAGGTACAATCCCTCCAGTGCATATTTCAAATTTATTTTGATATGATCCTATTAGGGATCGAACCAACGAACGTGGAGGGAATTGGGTGGAAGGAGCTATGTTGAGAGGGTTATATCTTTGGGGGGTGGGGCATTTTAAAAGATAGATGGCACTAAAGTTATAGGGTATTGACAAAGTAACGACAACTCACCAAAGCTTGTTGGTATTCAGGAAGCTAATCAGATGTTATACGACTTCCATTAGCTCCGTCTGCTCTATACTGTAAGACATTTAATTTTCAACAGCTGATGGTTTTGTTGTTAGTAAAATCGCATTTATGTAAAGATCTCAAAGGCACATACACTAATGAAAGGGCTTACATTTGGCTAGTTACTTAAATCTCGTACATGAATCAACCGTTTCATAATGGTTTTATTTTCTAATTCCTAAATGACGTGTGACTCAGGGGATGAAGAAGTTTTTGTAGCATAGCAACAAAACACGATGTAAACGTAAACGTCATCTGAACCCGTCTGAGTGAACACGGCGTATGGGTCGTCGGGCATGCCCTGTGGCCCGGATGTATGGGTCGTCGGGCATATCCCGTGGCCCGGGTGTATGGGTCGTCGGGCATACCCCGTGGCCCGGGTGTATGGGTCGTCGGGCTTTCCCAGTGGCCCAAGTGTATGGGTCGTCGGGCATACCCCATACCCCCGTGGCCCGAGTGTATGGGCATACCCTGCGTGTCCCGGGTTTGGATGTAGAAGGGGTGATACATCCCGGATCCGGACATACATATCTAACACAACTAACTTGTCAATAGTAAACCTGTATTTAAGCCAAGTGTCTCGGGGGAGAACCCTGAATCTATAAGGGACAATTTACATCAATATTTAGTAAGAAGTCACTGTGAAAGTGTATGTTATATGTTTAACAGTGTGTATTGGTTGTGATTTATAAACATTTTAGTTTTGGATTTGACCGAGAATAAGGACTAGAGATAGGAAAAGTCATATAGAAATATGTACATATGTTAGTGTAGTATATGATACATACTCGTCGGCAGGCTGACAAACAAACGTTGTATATAACGATATATAACGACACCAGGTACCGGATCTCAAATTTCAATAAAAAAATGATATTTAAATATTCAATCATTATG